ACTCCGGCCCTTCGGGCTCGCATATAACTCCGGCCCTTCGGGCCGGTATTACTGAGTATCCCAGATTCACAGATATTTGTCGTGGAGGCGCGGGATTGATTGAAATAATGTTATCAGATTTTTCTAAATTACATTGAAATATCGAAAATTGGAAAGTGTAATTTGTTAATTATTATTTTAATTAGAAATCAGGAATAAAAAATTGAGATTGAATTTTCAATTTTTTGGGGGAGATTTAGCCTCCCCTGCCTCCTTTGACGAGCCGCCACTGCTTATTTGATATGAAATAAAAACAGACTATTTGACACACTAATATAAGTATAATAATAATAATAATAATAATAATATAATAATAATAATAATAATAATAATAATACGTTTATTTTGCATTAAAATCAATAAATACATTTACAATTTTTGACAGATACTTTACAGAAGTAATAATGCAAAAAAGGAGCTGGAATTCAATTAAAAATTGTTCAAGGTCCAGCCCTTGGACGGTATAGTTATATATATACAGTGTGTCCACTTAAGTTCGCAGCATATGGGAAACTTTTTTATTATCAACTTTACAAAAAAAAGTTATACCTTATAAAAGTTTCTGCTTCTTGAAAAAATAGTATTAAACTATTAAAACTTGGAATGTCAAGTACAGGGTTGTCAGAAAATAGAAAAATATACATAATTTTTTGGTAAAAAACGGTAAAAGTAGAAAAAAAATGTCACGTCACTATTTTTTAAAACCTTTTGATATTTTTTTCAGATTCAACAAGTCATATATGACAGTCAAAAGATACCTTTCGTTATCACAAACAGACCTGCCAAATTTGAAAAAAAAATTGGAAAATGGATTTTTGGCCTAAAATAACGATTTTTTCCAAAACTTTGACACCCTGTATCTCAAAAACTACGCATTTCCGGATACACGTTTATGGAAACTTTTCTTCTTAAAATACTTTAAGGAATCACATCCTGAAGTGACAAACCGTACTTAGGAAATATCCTGTATATTTTGCAATTTTTTGACCACCCTGTACATGCTGTTTCAAGTTTTAGTAGTTTAATATTATTTTTCCAAGAAGCAGAAACTCTTATAAGGGATAACTTTTACGAAAAAAAGTATCCCATATGCTGCGAACTTAAGTGGACACACTGTATATAGTTATATACAGGGTTAGTAAAAAGTACTGCAACACTTAAATATCTTCAAAACTGCTTAAGCCGCGTTCACACAATTCGGAATCTGACAGTTTTTGGACATGCGGAATTCAACAGTGCTATTGGCAATGCTGCCAGATTTCTCAGTTTTGCGCTACACGTAGTCTTTTTGTTATCTTAAATAGAATACCCCATTTATTTTTATTGCAATGAATTGGGCGTGCCAAATTTGATAAGATCCCAAACTTTCAGAGTTTTATCGTTACTAGTTGCTGAAATATGACAACACCGTATTTTCGGTGAAAAGTATAGCAATGCTTGAATATTTTCAAACGCCGCTTAAGCACGTTCACGAAATTTGGTATCTGGGGGTATTTGGGCAAGCGAAATTCAACCGTGATATCGGCATTGTTGCCAGACTTCCCAGTTTTGCGCTAAACTTAGTCTTTTTGTTATCTTGAATAGAATGCCCCGTTTATTTTTATTGTAATAAATTGGACGTGACAAATTTAATAAGATTCCAAATTTTCGGAATTCTATCTCTACTAGTTGCTGAAATATGCTAATACCGCATTTTTAGTGAACGGTATCGCACTGCAGGCTGTCAAAACTGGGAAATCTGACAACAATGCCGATATCACGGTTGAATTTCGCTTGCCCAAAAACCCCTAGATACCAAATTTCGTGAACATGCTTAAGCGGCGTTTAAAGATATTCAAGCGCTGCGATACTTTTCACCGTAAATACGGTGTTGTCATATTTCAACGACAAGTAGAGATAGAATTCTGAAAATTTGTAGTCTTATCAAATTTGGCACGCCCAATTCATTGCAATAAAAATAAATGGGGCATTCTATTTAAGATAACAAAAAAACTACATGTAGCGCAAAACTGGGAAATCTGGCAACATTGCCAATAGCACTGTTGAATTCCGCATGTCTAAAAACTGTCAGATTCCGAATTATGTGAACGCGGCTTAAGCAGTTTTGAAGATATTTAAGTGTTGCAGTACTTTTTACTAACCCTGTATATCCAGATTATATCTATCACAGTCAAAAACAGTGTTGCCGATTTGCGGGTAATTACCCGAAATTCGGGTTTTTCAACCTGTTCTGCGGGTAAAATATTTAGTGCGGGTGTGCCAAATATTTGCAAAATGAGTATTGAGTAAACAGTTCGACTTTGAGTTGAGTTGACACTGTTGACAGTTGACATTTGAACTTGAACTAAAAATGTTGTTTTTTTAATTTCTGTGATTTTTGTTATTAGGTACCTTTTCAGTTAGTATTACCATTGTATTGTTTTACCTACAAAATGATTGAAATGAGTTGATAATATATTTTTTATTTATTTTCTGTTATTTATGCATGTAGGTTAGGCTAATCCTGTTCATTTGTTCTGGTTTTTTTGTTCCAAGCAGATCTCAGCACAGAAGGCGTTCACTTGTCCCCTGAACAGAATAGCGAAATCGCAGCTCCAAGCAGATATTTGATTTTTCTACACATGAACACCCTAGGTATTTTCTAGGTCCGGGTTTTTTGACAGCAAGCCAAATTGATGATATTTTTATTTTTTTTAGTGTGGTGCAACTTTATTGTGATATTCAATATAATATTATAAATAAAAGGACCGGGAAGGATAGATAGATAGTTTTATTAGTTTTATATTTTTTATATCCTACTGAACTATTAAAACCATATAATACCTTGGTTACGATAATCATAAACAGGGTCTTAACTCCCAAGGGAGTTAAGGATTTCCATAACTCCCGCTTTTACCTTGAATAGGTAACACTTTGACAAAAAATTGCAATTTTGATTTATGGCTTATTCCTTTATAAAAATAGACAGAATACAGTAAATTCAGTAGGATATAAAATTATCTATGTACCACGGGAATTATCAGGAATTAATACCCACGGGCAATTGGTGTCCCTCGGGCCGGAGGCCCTCGGGACACAAACGTTGCCCTGGGGTATTAACACCTGCATAATTCCCTTGATACATAAATAACTATTAAATCATTAGAAAAAAAATTATAATTACAAAATACTACTCTAAAAAGTCGAGGGTGAAAAGTTGGGTGTTTTGCTTACTGATAACGGGTAAAAACGGATTTTTTTGAAATCTCACGCGGGTAATGACAAAAATCAGATTGGCAACACTGGTCAAAAACTCTAAGCCTCCCCCAAAAAATTGAAAATTCGATCTCAGTTATTTATTCCTGATTCCTAATTGAAATAATAATGTACAAATTTCGATATTTCAATGTAATTTAGAAAAATCTGACAACATTATTTCAATCAATCCCGCGCCTCCAGGACAATAGAATTATAGATTGAGCCTCGTAATTAAAATAACTTTGGCCCTTCGGGCTCACGTATAACTCCGGCCCTTCGGGCTCGCGTATAACTCCGGCCCTTCGGGCTCGTATTACTGAGTATCCCAGATTCACAGATTTTTGTCGTGGAGGCGCGGGATTGATTGAAATAATGTTGTCAGATTTTTCTTGTTTTCCGAGATGAGATGTAGCAACGTTGCTTTTAGTTGGCCATTTTGAAGTGACGTCTTGTGATTTTTTGCCAGTTCTTTCTCGAATTTTCGACTTTTCCGGGGTTTTTTAATGGAAAAAAGCGATTTAACATACGAGGTTTTGAGTTTCCTCCGTTTCTTAGTAAAAATTTCTAGTTTTAAATGCCATAACTAGCAAAATCCCATTTAAAATGCTTTTGATGTGGCAACATCGCTTGTGGCTAACTTCAATCAAGGAAGCATTTCTGACAGTCGGCCATTTTCAATTGACGTGTTTACATTTTTATTCAGTTTTTCTTCAAATTCTTCACTTTTCCGGGGCTTTTTCAGTCAGGAAAACTGATTTAAAGTACGAGGCTTTGAGTTTTCTTCATTTTCCACCAAAAATTTTCAGTTTTTCAACGGGGTAAGTGAGAAAAACTTCAGTTTTATCAAGTAGGTTTTGGAATGTCATTTTTGTTGTTTTTTTTTTTTGGAATCTTTATTTAGGGTTTTTGGGGTCCGGGGATCGTTTTCCACCACTTTTTTCCTCTAAATTCGCAAAATTTAAAAAAAAAACTTTTTTGATGTTGACAGCTGTCAATTTTTTTTTGACACAAATCGATAGTTGACGTCGTGAAACTGCCTTGTACCGGGGTTTGATTTTCGTAGCTTTTATAGTAGAGCGGGTAAAAAGTCGAACATGTGTCAAATTTGACAGGTGACATTTGTCGATATTGCCAAAGTATCGTGCGACAAAAGTTTTATCCGAACAAACCCGTTCATTGTCAACTGATTTTAATACTCCGGCCCTTCGGGCCGTAATCTTTGGAACAAAAAGGCGTCATTTTGTATCGATTGTCAAAAATAACAATGTAGGTACTTTGAAATTTAAATTTTTTGACGTTTGTTGTATCATGAGCAGTGTTGCCATATGTTTTTTTCAAATCTCGAGCTCGAAGGGCCGAGATTATAGGTTATTATTAAACCCAATCAAGAGCCGGGAATATTCAAAATTTGAAGCCAATCAAGAGCCGGGAATATTCAAAATTCGAATCCCCAAACCAATCAGAAGACGGGAAAATTAAAAAATTCAAATTCCAAACCCGACGGGAAATTGAATTTTTGAGAATGACAGCTGTCAAAATTTTAAAAAAATCCACATTGGGCATATAGATTTAGCCTCGGCGAATACGTAGGAAGTACGATTCTTGGGAAGTACCAATTTTTTTAACATATATCAAAAAAGACGTTCGGCGTTGCCAGGCCGTTGGTTTTTGACATATATCGATGAAACTTTTTATATTAGGGTTTTCGGAGCCTGGGGATCGTTTTCTGACATTTGTTTTTTGAGAAAAAAAAAAGGTAAAAATTTTTGACATTGACAGTTGTCAAAATTTAAAAAAAAACCCACAACAATCTTGTTCAAATTGCATAAATCACACACTATAATTAATAAGGAGAGAAAAATGAAACACAGATTAAATAATTAATTTTAATTTATTGTTGTATATAAAAACAATCTCTAATTTGTTGTTCTAGTTCCAAGATGCATATAATAAAGAGTATTAATTTGCAAAATAAGTACATAATTTTCTTTTTAAAATATCACTTAAAAATTAAACAAAATATACATAATCACAATATAAAGGACAATATTTTGAATCTTAATAAGGTTGTTCAAACAAAAATGTTTTGTCGAAACAAACTCCTAATATTTTCACTAAACAAACAAAAAAAATCTGTACAAAATAGCAAAACAATAAAAAAATAGAATTGGTATAATACCTACTTATAGATAGAACAAGTTCTATGGAATAATTATGTACACTTACAGGTTTACCACCTTTGAATGCATAAAATATTTGCATCTTTTCAATAAAATAAGGGTGGCAAAATTGTATTTTGGGCTGCAAGTTTTTTTTAAATACAAAATAGAATTTGATGCGGAAACAACGTTGTCAGATCATTGGACTAGCTTATGGGGTTTAGATTTATGTTAATCTGACAACATTGGTCAATGAACTTCGTATTTATATACTGTCCTGTAAAATAAGGAAGTTCTTACATTCAAGCAGGAGCTGTGTACTTTTTTATATACACAAAAATTTATATCCTAATATTCAGTTGCCTGTTTTGGTTTCCTCCTCGCCCATATTGGGATCGAAAAATAATGCCGAAAAGGCAAACAGAAGGAACACTATACCTCCAATAATTGTTACTAGAAAAGAAAATTATTTATTAACAAACAAAATATAAAATCAAGACAAAAACTAACCAGTTCTAACAGAAATTTTCTGCGCAATCATTCTACCGCCTAATACTGCCACTCCGGTACATATCGAATGTCCTATAACACCTCCCAATATTACACCATAAACATTCTGAAATTACTCATTAATAATTTTGTTAATAATTGGAATTGAATCGGTACTTCTCTGGCTCCAAGTAAAATAGTAGTCAATTGCGACCTGTCGCCCCATTCGGCTAAAAATGTCAATGTAAAAGCTTGAACTAATATCCTTAAGGTAGCTGCCAAAGCGCTTGTAGGTTTAGATCGTCTACTTGAAGCCACTTCAACGTCTATATTGGAACTTCTTTCCAACTAAAATTTGTATGATTTTATGAAAATCAACTTATTGTAAATTTGTACCTGTTCGTCACTATTTCTAAGTTGATTTTGCACTTCGTCCATTTCTTCTTGGCCTTCGTTTGGAGACATGGAGTAGCCTTCTTTTAGCATTTTCAGACCGAAAATTGCGAATAGGGCTGTACTTATGTAAAATGTGTAGGCTCGAGGGATTACGTTTACTAACCAACCAAAAAGGGCTGCAAAAAAAATGATTGGTAAGGCTTGAATAATGATGATCTAAGTCATATTGGATAAATTCAAATTTGAAAAGGTATAGTGGATAAAAAAAGGTTTGAAATTGAAAAAGAATATACAAAACAAATTAAGAAAAATTTGCCTAATACAAATAAGACAGATAATCAAACATAAAATAACCAAAAATTTAATCAAGTAATTAACAATTTCAAATAAATACAATGTAATCTATGTTAGGGGTCAATAAACCTGAGAAAAATAGTCTAATTTCAAGCCTAATTACCTGATAATATTGTCATAACAATCAAGGCAGATATGGCACCGGTGAAAACCGTTAATCTAGGATGTCGCATGGCCATTATGGCGGCAATAAAAAACGTTTTGTCGCCGATTTCCGAGACAAGGATGACGGAAAAGCTGGCGACGAATCCATGGATGAATCCCACATCTTTGACGTTGATTATTTTGCCGCCTTTGGTGGCCTTGTCACCTGTTGGAGGCTGAAAAAAAATCAACAATTGTAATTCATAAGAACACAAATGTATTTCAGAAAAAGGTCAATTGTAATTCGAATTTTTGAAATGTAATTCAGAAGACATCAATTTTAATTCAGATTTTATAAATGTAATTCAGAAAATTTTATTTGTTCTTTAGAAAATCCCTTCAAAAATCCCAATTGTAAATCAGATAACAGTTAAAATTCGGAATAAACAGATTTTTTGATGGTAGGTTTAAATTATTTATTAATTTAATAGTTGAAGTACAAATGCAATTTTCTGGATTACATTTGAAAAATCCCAGGAAAAATCTTAATTACAAATGGGGTTATCTAAATTTCAGTTGAGATTTTCGAAATTACATTTGAAAAATCTGAATTACAACCGATATTTCCTGAGTTACAATTGATAAAGGTGTAGTATTGACAAAGTTTACGTAGGTATTGATTGAATAAAATTCTAAAATCCTTTACATAGCCTTTTCTTTTATCAAGCCACTTGAGGTATTGTAAAACTTATAATGAAAGTGTTCCATTAATAAATGACCTAAATCTTGCCTAATGTTATTGCCCCAATTTCATTCACATGGCTGGCACGGCAAGCTATTTTCTTTTTAGTTTTAAAGTAAAAAAGAAAACATTTTTCTGTGGGTTCTAAATTATCCTCAAAATTCCTGCGAATTCCTCCAGAAACCCCTTCACAAATACCCCACCACGAACTTCTCCAAATACCCCACAAATTCCTCTAAAAAAAGGGAAAATTTTGAAACTTTCTGCATGTAAAGAGGAAGGTGAGAAGATCATTTTCCCAAAATTTAAAAATTTTCCAGTGGAAAACAGCAATATGAAAAATCTTGAAAATCAACCTACACAAACTGAATTAGTTGAAATTACTGTCTCCCACATTTCAAAGTTTTCCTGGAAAACTAGTGACGGGAACATTTCGAAACTTTTTGCATGTAGGTAAAGAGGAAAGTGAGAAGCTCATTTTCCCAAAATTTCGAAATTTTCCAGTGGAAAACAGCAACATAAAAAATCTTGTAAATCAACCTAAAATAACTGGATTAATTGAAAATACAGTCTCACACATTTCAAAGTTTTCCTGGAAAACCACTTAGTGGAGGCAAAAATTTGAAACTTTATGCATGTGAAGAGTAGAAAGGTTGAAGGCTCATTTTCCCAAAATTTCAAATTTTTACAGTAGAAAATTACAACATAAGGAATCTTGGAAATCAACCTACAATAACTGAATTAATTGAAAATACAGTCTCACACATTTCAAAGTTTTCCTACGAAAATTTTGAAACGTTTTGCATGTAAAGAGGAAGCTGAAAAAGTCATTTTCCCAAAATTTCAAATTTTTCCAGTGAAAAACAGCAACATGAAAAATTTCGAAAATCAACCTACAAAAACTAAATTAGTTGAAAATATAGTCTCACACATTTCAAAGTTTTTCTAGAAAACTAGTTTTCTAAAGGGAAAATTTTGAAACTTTTTGCATGTAAAGAAGAAGGTGAGAAGCTCTTTTTCCAAAATTTCAGATTTTTTCCAGTGGAAAATAATAACATGAGGAATATTGGAAATCAACCTACAAGAACTGAGTTAATTGAAAATACAGTATCATATATTTCAATGTTTTCCTGGAAAACTAGAAAAGGGAAAATTTTAAAACTTTTTGCATGTAAAGAGGAAAGTGTGAAGCTCATTTTCCCAAAATTTCATTTTTTTTTCCAGTGAAAAATAACAACATGAGGAATATTGGAAATCAACTTACAAGAAGTGAATTAATTGAAAATACAGTATCATATATTTCAAAGTTTTCCTGGAAAACTAGAAAAGGGAAAATTTTGAAACTTTTTGCATGTAAAGAGGAAGGTGTGAAGCGAGGTGTGAAGTTCATTTTCGCAAAATTTCAATTTATTCCAATGGAAAATAACATGAGGAATATTGGAAATCAACCTATAATAACGGAATTAATTAAAAATATAGTCTCACACATTTCAAAGTTTTCCTGAAAAACTAGTGAAGGGAAAATTTTGAAACTTTTTGCATGTAAAGAGGAAGGTGAAAAGCTCATTTTTCCAAAATTTCAAATTTTTTCAGTGGAAAATTACAACATGAGGAATCTTGGAAATCAACCTACAATAACTGAATTAATTGAAAATACTTACAAAAACTAAATTAGTTGAAAATACAGTCTCACATATTTCAAAGTTTTCCTAGAAAACTAGTAAAGGGAAAATTTTGAAACTTTTTGCATATAAAGAAGAAGGTGAGAAGCTCATTTTCCCAAAATTTCAATTTCTTCCAATGGAAAATAACAACATGAGGAATATTGGAAATCAACCTACAATAACTGAATTAATTGAAAATATAGTCTCACACATTTAAAAGTTTTCCTGAAAAACTAGTGAAGGGAAAATTTTGAAACTTTTTGCATGTAAAGAGGAAGGTGAAAAGCTCATTTTTCCAAAATTTCAAATTTTTTCAGTGGAAAATTACAACATGAGGAATCTTGGAAATCAACCTACAATAACTGAATTAATTGAACATACAGTCTCACACATTTCAAAGTTTTCCTGGAAAACTAGTGAAGGCAATTATTTGAAACTTTTTGCATATGAAGAGTAGAAAGGTTGAAGGCTCATTTTCTCAAAATTTCAAATTTTTACAGTAGAAAATTACAACATGAGGAATTTTGGAAATCAACCTACAATAACTGAATTAATTGAAAATACAGTCTCACACATTTCAAAGTTTTCCTGGAAAACTACTTAGTGGAGGCAAAAATTTGAAACTTTATGCATGTGAAGAGTAGAAAGGTTGAAGGCTCATTTTTCCAAAATTTCAAATTTTTCCAGTGGAAAATTACATGAGGAATCTTGGAAATCAACCTACAATAACTGAATTAATTGAAAATACAGTCTCACACATTTCAAAGTTTTCCTGGAAAACTACTTAGTGGAGGCAAAAATTTGAAACTTTATGCATGTGAAGAATAGTAGAAAGGTTGAAGGCTTATTTTCCCAAAATTTCAAATTTTTCCAGTGGAAAATTACATGAGGAATCTTGGAAATCAACCTACAATAACTGAATTAATTGAAAATACAGTCTCACACATTTCAAAGTTTTCCTAGGAAAATTTTGAAACTTTTTGCATGTAAAGAGGAAGGTGAGAAGATAATTTTTTCAAAATTTCAAATTTTTCCAATGAAAAACAGTAACATGAAAAATCTTGGAAATCAACATACAAAAACTGTATTCATTATTCTTTTGATTTTTTTTTAAATTTGACGATTTCCTCTAAATTCCTCATAAATTCCTCACAAATTTTCCCAAATTCCCCATAAATTCCTCCAAATTCCCTATAAATTCCCCAAATTCGAATGAGTTCCTACAAATTCCCCACAAATTCCTCTAAATTCCCCACATTTTTGGCAAAGAATTCCTACGTAAGGATGCGACATCGAGCACAGATTTCGATGTTGGACATCGATGGTAACATCGATACTTCAACATCGATGCAACCGATGTATCAAAGTGAAAACATCGATATTTTACAAACATCGATGTTTTGAGGGTAACATAGAGAAAACATGGAAAATTTCTATTTTAACAGAACGTTTAATAATAAAATGAAAAAAAAAATTATTCTTGTTAAGTTAATAAAAACAATCACGTTTCCTACAGTCTAAAGTCTAAACAAAATAGTATGTAGAATAGAATATTCAGGTAAATTTAAGGTTCAAATGTCCCAGTAACTCTTGTCGATACCTTGAAGAAAAAGTAATTTCGACAATAACTTATCCTTTATCCTGTTTCTTTGTTGTGTGACCGTTTTTCCAGCTTTGGAAAACAGGCGTTCTGATGAGACTGATGTGGGCCACAACTACCAAGAATTTGTATGCAATTTTAGTAATTCGCTATGAGACCTGCGTAGCGATTTTCATTTGCAAAACTAGTGCAAGTAAAATTCATCTTTAAACCCTTTTATTATAGTCGATTTTTACAGCCAACATCGATGATAACATCGATGTTTTAAAATTTCAACATCGATGTCGAAACATCGGGTATTGAACGTCGATGTTTTTCAATAATCAATAAACATCGCACATCCCTATTCCTAGGTAGTTTGCCCCTTGGTTTGAACTTCATAGACTCTTTTCAAAAGTATTTGAATTTCCATCAATTTTACAAATAATAAATTAATTTTTATTGTTTTTAGTTGTGTAGTAAATACCTGTTATTCATTAAGTGTCTAGAAAAATTATTTTCAATAATACCCGAGGCTCGACCCGAGATAATACCTATCTATATCTTTTGATAATGATGATTGGGGAAATACAGGTTTATTCGAGGGGGAAACCACCTTAGAATTTTGGTGTACAAACTGATAGAATTTTTTAGAATTTCTCAGAATTTTCTAGAATTATCAGTATTTTTTAGCATTTTCTAGCATTTTGTAGAATTATTTAGAATTTTTTAGTATTGTTTAGAATTGAATTAGAATTTTTTAGAAATAATTTAGAATTTTCACCTATTGCACATGCTCAAGATACTGCGCACTGCGCAATCTGTAGGGATTTTTGGAATTTTTTTTAATTTTTAGAATTTTTCGAGAATTTTTGGTGTACAAAATTAGGTAGGAGGGTTCCCCCGAACGGGAAACCTTCTTAGAATTTTGGGTCATTTTTTATATTTTCCCACCCCCCTTTACTTTTTTGTGCCACTGTGTATAAAAAAAAATTTAAATAGGAAAGTTGAAGTGCTTGAAAAATAGTTCTCAGAAAACATAGTTTTGTTCATACAGGGTGTTGCAAAAAGTTTAAAAAACAAAAAAAAATTATATTTTTTCAAATGGGATACCCTGTATATTATGACATTTCTGGATTCTGCGGAAAATTCTAGACATAAGTATTTCGTGTATAATGTCATATACTTATCTTGAACTGTTTCGGAAATAATGACAGTAGAAAATTGACTTTTTTACAACTTTGATAGGCTGTAAAACCTAAACTGTTAATTTTACAGCAAAACCGATTTTACATTCTTGTCGACAGCTTTTCATAAGCTAGCATTTGAGACCAACTTTGAATTTAACCGGAGATTAAATTTAATTGGAATTTTCAATCATGGATTAAATTCAAAGTTGGAGTCAAATGATATTTTATAAAAAAATAGGAAAAGCATGTATGATCGCTTTTGCTGTAAAATCAACCGTTTAGGTTTTACAGTCTGTCAAAGATGCAAAAAAGTCAATTTTCCACTGTCATTATTTCCAAAGCAGTTGAATTTAGGTATATGACATTATACATGAAATAAGTCTAGAATTTTCCGCAGAATCCAGAAATATCATAATATACATGGTCCCATTTAAAAAAAATATATTTTTTTGTTTTTTAAACTTTTTGCAACACCCTGTATGAACAAAACTATGTTTTCTGAGACCTATTTTTCAAGCACTACAACTTTCCTATTTAATTTTTTTTTATACACAGTGGCATAAAAAAGTTAAGGGGGTGGGAAAATATAAAAAATGACCCTGTACATACAAAATGAATTTTTAGAATTTCTTAGAATTTTTCCGAATTATCAGTATTTTTTTGCATTTTTTAGTATTTTCTAGCATTTTATAGCAATTTCTAGAATAATTTAGTATTTTTTAGAATGGCATGTAATATTGACAGTTGAATTAAAGAGGGCGCTTCTGTACTTGGAGCTTTTTAAATTTTGGCGCGTAAATAATCGATTGTAATCTTAACCTCAAAAGTTAAGTTTGATGTGTGGTTTCAAGACAAGCTGACGCTGACACCTTTAAAATTATTCTCTAAGGGCCACTGAACGCTTTGGAACATATTTTAACTGATTCATTGTCCATTGTCCATATGTAGTCATCTTTCCTTCTACTCAATTTAAGCGGTTTAAAACTATTGACATTTACCGCCAAAATTCAAAGCACTCCAAGTTCACTTGCGCCCTCTACAAAATTTTGGCGAAGTTTACTGGATATTTGCTGCCATTGAACTAGAATTTTTTAGAAATAATTTTTATCTATTGTGCATGCTCAATTTTTTAGAATTTTTAGAATTTTTTGGGACAATAATAACATGAAAATTAGCATTTTTCAGAATTTTAGAATTTTTGGTGTACAAAATTAGGTAGGTGGATTCCCCCTCGGGTTTATTAAATGAAAATTAATGATTCAAGTTTCTTGTCACAGCTTCTTCTTAATCTTCACAGTCAGAGTAGGCAAAAATCTGGGTACCTAATTGTATTATAGTGGAAAGAGAATTGGATTTTTGGTTTTGATGTTTTTGGTGAATATTTGTGTTTTTGATATACCTATACCTATTTTCATGTATTAAAACTTATCATTTTCGAACAAATGAGATAACTACAGAGGTATCAAAGAGCCTTTAAGAATATTTGTCAATGTGACGCCTAGAAGTATTTTTTGCAGGCTCCAAAATGCGATTTTAGGGAAAATTTTTGAATTATCTTTGAAGATACACAAAGAAAACAATTTCAACTTTATTTCCAAGATTAGAATCAACTTAAAATGTATTTTTCTTGATAAAAGAGATTTTAATTCATAAATCCTGGAGATTTAAAGACACTGTGATACCTAGAAGTATTTTTTACAGGCTCCCAAATGCGATTTTAGAGAAAAAATTTGAATTATCTTTGAAGATACACAAGAAAAACATTTTCAACTTTATTTTCAAGCTCTGGATCAACTTGAAAGGTATTTTTCCCAATACTTACTTAAAAGTAATGTTAATTCATAAATCCTGGAAATTTAAAATCAATGTGACGCCAAGAAGTATGTCAGATATTCGATTTTCCATGCCATACCACCAAGGATTTCTAGGATTTTGATAAATCTATTGGGATTTTGGATTTTGAGATTTTGAGATTTCATATAGGGTTTTTATCAGGGTTGGAAAAAATTGAGGAAAAAACCTACGAATCAGGAAAAATAATTTCGGTTTTTTGAGGTTTTTTTAGGTTTTTCAGGTTTTTTAGTAGGTAACAATTGTAACACATTTTTGATATGAATATGTACCGTACCTATGTAATATTATGTAAATAATTAAATTATTAACATAGGTAATGAAAGCTAATCCAATAAATAAGATATAGGTATAGCATTCTGGAAAGAAATTACTACTGAAAGTTACACTTAATAAAACAAAAAACCTAAAAAACTTAGGTTTGAAAAAACCTTCACCTGCCAACCCTGGTTTTTATCCCCATTGGTGGGCCAGTTATCTACAGATGAATAGGATTAGAGATTGGTATATTTATCTTGTAGACAAATACCAGTAAGTTTATCTGGGGATGAATAAACCAGGCCTTGAACAAATTGCCTACTGCAAGGTTTATTTCGAGGTTTATTTGTACTTTATCTAATTCTCGTATTCTATTATCTGTGTAGTGTAGTAGACAAAAATTTCAGTCTTATCTTTGCTATCTTTAAATATTAAAGTTTGTGAACATTTATTTTACATCAAGGTACCTCAATAAAAATTAATGTACCAAGTACCTACTTACTATTACAATAATGAGAAATTAACAATATTCAAGTTCAGTGCCTCACATTTTCAATACATAAGGCATTATTTTATAGCCTGACTTGGTACTTTAATTTGAATTTAACTTACTAGTGTAACTTCTTCAGGAAGTTGTTCAACATCAACTTGAGCTTCACTAAAATACAAACTAGCCAAAAATACAAGCACGAAAACTATAGATCTTTTATATTTCATTTTACCCCACATTTTCTACTTTATTTCAATTGAATCTAATTAGTGTTGGATCTCGAAAGTAATGTACTTCAATTTAAAAAGGCAAACATTCACTAATCACTGCATTATTATCTTACGTAGTTAATTGTTTAATATTAGGATTAGATAAATAATTTTTTCAGTCTATCGAGTTGTAGTTATTCAGCATTTATTTGTCTAATTAAATGCTAAATAAGCTGAAAACCATCTCAGAAAATTTTTATTATTTCTGTGGTGTGAAAAACTTTTGAGCGAGGTGAAATTATAACCTTCAAATTAAAACGTCACAAAAAAAAATACACAAGTACAAATCAAACGTCATCAGATGGTGCATTCAGTGGACGTACTTTTTTTGTACTTCTATTACATAATAATATTTATAATAGCGAATTCTATTGGTAGAACCAGTGCAGAAAAAAATGCATTTTTATCTCTTTTTTATACAGGCTAACAAACAAAGACAACCTTTCCAATAGAACTCGCTATTAGTTACCCTGCGTTTTTATTCTCATCAAATTTTACCGATGGATCCACCATTCTATGTCGGTCATTGTCATTTTCCATTCACTAAACAAAGATAGCTTACTCATCGGTGAATTCATCGATGAGAATAAAAACGAGGGGTTACGCTCATTGAATGTATGTATTTATGTGTCACTGTCAGTGTCAGAGATAGTACACGTACATAACCTATATTATTTTGTTGTTTTAAATTTCTCAATTTTTATGTTAATCCAAACTCGAATTATTATTTATTATTGTAGTCCTTTTAACTGTTTTTCATTGTAACATTAAATTAGTACATATAAGAACAATGTCCTTTACTTCCTTAATAAAAGTTCCTCAATCGAACAAAATTTGTTCAGCTTCTGTGATATTTTTGCACGGTTCAGGTAAGAAACATTTCACCAAATATTCGTTTATACTTGAAACGAAATTCTAGGTGACACCGGTCAAGCGTTCCTTAATTGGATCAAATTTTTAATTGGTGACGTTGTTTCGCCACATATTAGCTTTTATTTTCCTACAGCCCCTCTGAGACCTTATACACCATTAGGAGGAGAAGTAATTAACTGAGCCTTATTATAAAACAAAATTACATTAATTATTTTAGCTAAGTTATGTATGGTTTGATCGCTACGATATAACACCAGAAGCTCCTGAACACATTGAAACCCTACAAGAAATAGGAGCAAACCTAAAATCTCTTGTAAACGATATTGTCAATACTGGAGTGCCTTTAAATAGAATTATGATAGGAGGTTTTTCAATGGGAGGTGCTTTGGCACTTCACTCTGCATATAGGTTCACTCCTGGACTAGCAGGGACTTTTGCACTATCTTCGTTTTTAAATAAAAACTCCCTAGTTTACTCTGAATTAAAAAGTGAAACTACTCCACTTTATATGGCGCATGGAGAAAAAGATACAATGGTACCAATTTCCTGGGGTAAAAAAACCTATGACGAACTAACAAAGCTTAATGTGAAAGGAGAATTTGTACCTCTAGTTTATACATTGCATGAATTGAAGAAAAGTGAACTGAATGGGTTGTTTAAGTGGATTGAAAAGAGATTACCTCCATTGGAAACTGATATACAGCCTCTATTAAAAACTGATATACAATAAGAGGATTAAGTTTATGGTTGTAGGAAACTGTGCTGGATTATACAAGACGATATTTTACTTATTATTATACTTTATGTAAGAAGAGTAGAATAAAAATAAATATTTTAATTAAAGTAATTTTATTGTTTAAACACATAAGAAAAAAATTTAACCTACAAAATCCCCAATGACTTTTCAATCACAGCATGAGGTTGTCCTGCTACCTCGGCAAATTCTCCAGTATTAAAAACATCTTCAGGACTTATTTCCAAATCTCTCCCAGTCAAAGACTCTAGCATTACATTGGAAGACTTCAAAAAAGGCAAATGCCCGATTTTCCTTGCCGCCTTCAATTCCATGGCTATTTTTAAGGGGGCGTGCAGGCCTTGGATGTTGCGCAGCACCTGCATGTTCATTTTGTCTGTATTTTGACGGTACTACAAGACAAGGGGTTAGTTTTGTTTGCTATATTGGTTGATAATTGTTTTACGTTTAGTTCGGATTGGGCTAGAGGGTGGACGTTGTCCAGAGCATCACGGGCAGAGCTTAGGCCTGTTTTTAGTAGTTCTGGCACCCCATATTCGCCCTCAGGCATTCCATATTCGGCGGCGTGTTGGGGTTTGGCTTTTATTGAAGGTAATCCAAAACTCTAAAGAGATATAAATAGTTGTTTGAGGATTTATTTTCTAATCACTTACCATTTTGATTTATTGAATGGAAATTCTTTAATTATTTTGTTTGAATTTGTATTTTTATGGAATGAATTGGCATTAAAATTTGTTTAGTAATGTTGATTTGATAGTTGACACTTTGCTTTGAGATGTCGTTTCTGACGTGACTTACCGTGCGTTCGAAATTATTGCTTGTGTTCGGTATTTTGCTCAAAGAGCAGAGCGTGCTGAAGCGGCGCCGTAATCACGTGCCAGCGCAGAGCAGTTAAACTCTGTGCCAGAGCGCTCGAAACTTCAATAAACGAACGCAAATGAGCCTACACCGAACACATTTTTTAAATAAACGAGTGCAAAATTTCAAGAATTGTAAACTAACAGAATTGCTCATCTTCGCAAGGCGCACGTTCGCCACTTGTCCAGTTGGCAAGGCCTGCGAGGGACTTCACCATTATCAACAGCTTATTGTGGTGACGTCACTTGCAGGCCTCGATGGGATGCTTGCGATTCAGTTTTATGAATGAGCAAATTTTTTGTCGATTTTGAATAAAGAAAAGGTGATTTTACCAAGATTATGGGCCGGTTTCTCATTAGCGATTCACCTCCGGCATACTTTCCAGGGTAAACATTGCAACTGGACATGTTTACCCTGGAGTTAAAAACAATAACGAAAACCAACCCAGAGGTGACTCGCTCCTTCTTGCCTATGGCCGTGTTCGTTATTTCATCTTTTTCGTCGATATGCTCCGAAATTTTGATGCGTCATCAAAGGTGTTTTCTCGCGGAACGAATGATTCGAACCAAACTACGGTCCACACCAATTTGTAGATGACGTCATCACTTGTGAACGCGAGAAGAGGTTAATTTTATACGAAAAACGATTTTACATTCCTATCTTAGTTTTTTATAAACTATCATTTGACACCAATTTTGAATTTAATCCATGATTAAAAATTCCAGTTAAATTTAATCGGAGATTAAATTCAAAGTTGATGTCAAATGATAGTTTATGAAAATCTAAGAAAGGAATGTAAAATCGGTTTTCCTCTAAAATTACCCGTTTAGGTTTTACAGCCTGTCAAAGTTGCAAAAACTCAATTTTCAACTGTCAATATCTCCAAAACAGTTGAACTTAGGTATGAGTATATGAGTATATCACATGAAATCTGCTCAGAATTTCACGTAGAATCTAAATATGCAGTTACATACAGGGTGTTCTATTTAAAATAACAAAGTTCTGTCGCATACCCCATAAATGGAGCACCCTGTATATTCAAAAATATTTTTAACTAATGCGTATTAGAGTATCAAACAACTTTGTAATTTAATATTTTTTTCTCATATCACCCTGTAAGGAGCTATCTTCGGATATCGCACTAAGTAGACACCCTGTATATAATATGTCAAAAAATACGTTCGGCGTCGCCAGGCCGTTAGTTTTTGACATATATCGATGAAACTTTTTACTTTGGGGTTTTTGGAGCCTGGGGATCGTTTTCTGACTTTTGTTTCTTGAAAAAAAGAAAAGATAAAAAATTTTGATATTGACAGTTGTTAAAATTAAAAAAAAAAAAACACATGGGCGTATACATTTAGCTTCGGCGAACACGTAGGAAATACTGAAAAAATTCCATGGCCCACTTTGACAGCCGTCAATGTCAAAAATATGACAAGCAGGTTCAATATCAAAAAAAGGATTCCACCACGCATAATATTTTTTCGAAGCATTTCAAGTCGTGTATATATGTATATACATATATCGATAATAATCCGGAAAAAATGAAATTCAAAACTGGCGCTTACGTGGCATAACATAACCTACGCTCAAATGTGTCATCGCACAAGTAAAAAAAAATTCAGGCACACTCAAGTAAAAAAACAATCCGGACGAATAATAATCACCCGGAAGATCCGGGTGATTAGGAACACCCAAATTAATAACCACTGGAAAAATTCGACTAATTTCGATATTGTTGCCGTTTGCGAGTACCCAACTATCAACTATTGACAAAGTATGTCATTAATGACCATAGTTAATGACTCTGACGGACAACTCTAACAAATCTCTACCGTTCGGAAATTGGCAAGCATCTAGATGACTCCAGGGTCAGGTGATCAAAAAATCTGTCTGGTCTCATCCGCTCCGCGATGGCTAAAACGAACTCACCCATTGTATTGCCAACATATTGTCATTTTGACTTTTATCTTTAAAAAAAAAACAGATTTTACCTGTCAAAGTTTGTTTACTGTCACTATCTCGTTTGGTGAAATGAACTTTTTTTTTTTTTTTAGTTGTATTTCTTTCACACCTAGGAGGAGCTCCGGAACAGTTCTAGGGCGTTACGCGCTTATTCCCGTAGCTTATTCCTTTCGAAAAGTGTTTGTTGCACCACGCATCTGCTCCTTTTAAATCGGGAGCGACTAAGCGAGGATTTTCATGCATCCGTTTTTCCGACGAAGTATGTCCGTTTAATATTCTATTCTGACATAATCGTATATAAATATGTCAAAATAGAAGACTTTTCGGACATATTTTGACGGAAAAACGGATGCATGAAAATCCTCCCTAACACCGGAGCGAGTAGCTCGAGTGTTGTATACGGGACGGTTTCTCAATAGTTGTATTCCTTTCACACCTAGGAGGAGCTCCGGAACAGCTCCGGGGCTTTACGTGCTTATTCCTTTCGAAAAGTGTTTGCTGCACCACGCATCTGTTCCCTGCAAATTGGGGCGACTAAGCACCGGAGCGAATAGCTCGAGTGCTTCGAACTCTTGAAAGGAATACAGCTAATAGATGATTTCCCAATAGACGGTTTCTCAATAACAAATTATTTGTAGGCTATGATGCCCGAGTTCGAGTAGGATCACTGACAGTGACACTAGAGGAGGGCTTATCGATACGATATATCGATATATACATCGATACGCCCTTAGACTTTCATATTTTCTCTATTCCATGATCTTTTTTTTTTTATTTCAACAAATTGAAAAGCCGGGAATAGACAATAGAGAGAAGACTTTCAAGAAAATATAAGAAAATATTGGTACGCAAAGTATTCTTTTTTACTACTAACCTGAGAAGTAGTCATTATTCAATCTATTTTTCTAGGAAAAAATAGAATTTCTCTCCCTAGGTTAATATTGAAAATAATGAAAAAATACCTAGGTCAATAATGAAAATGACGCAAGGATATTGTCATAACGTAAGAGGTTTCTATTGATTTAATTCCAATTTCAAACTGTCAATTTTAAAAAAAGCAGGTTCCTGTATGTACCATCGTCACCAAAAGTAACTGGGACAGATTCACATTAGCTCTTGTCCTATTATATAAATTTTATTGTCAAATATTTGTCAAACTATGAATTAAATGCATTGAAATAAATGACAGTAGAATTAGTCCAGGAGATTATTATGCATTATTTGTGTACCAGATACTTTTGGTGATGATATGGTACATTGTAGGAAATTACCGTAAGCTGTTGAAGAGGGCAGCACTTCCGACAAGAGAAAATTTGAGCCAGTTTCAAACTTATTTTTTTATTTTCTACTGGCAGTAGCAGTAGAGAAAAAACTCTAGATATTCCTCGGTAGAGAAAGTCATTACCGTAAAACGGGGATACTTTGTGACAGATTTGGGGGTTTTTTGAAATTCTCAAACATTTCATTCTTTGCCACATAAAATTCTAAAAGAAATACACTATGTATATCCGTTCTTCCGCTACAAAATGGCAGTTCTAGAAAATTGAAAAAAAAATAAAATAATTCAGCTTTTTTTTTTATTTGAAAGTATCACAATTTTACCCCGTGATGCGGGGTAACTTTGTGACAGTGCGTTTTTACAATGAAAACGTAGTGTAACCCCGTCATTTTTAGTCTGAAACGATAGGAAATGTCAAGAAATATAATATGCTTGATAATTTTCTGATATTAAAAACACGGGTATACAGGGTGTCCCACAATCAACGTTACAGGCCATAACTTTCTTATTTTCAAAGATAAAAATTTGAAACAAAAAAAATTATTAATGGCTAAATAAGCTCTCTTCAAAAATATTAAAAAATCATCCCTTGAAAAAATCATCCCCTATTTACAACCCTTGACTTTTTTTTTTCAAATGGCACCCCTATTATTCTTTTTTATTTTTGAGAAGCTTATGAAATTACAAATTTGTATGGTGTATAAAACATTTTTGTCTACAAAAATAAAAATATGACAAAAAAAAATTAATTGTGTGCAAATTAACCCCTTTTCAAGAATATTAAAAAAAACTTCCCTAACAAACTCATCCCCTAAAAACAACTCTTGCCTTTTTTTTCAAATAGAACCCCATTATTATTATTTTCATTTTTGATTTTTTTTTTCCAACGAAACATGGAAGAACAAACTTTTCATACATCATTGAATTTGCAATTTCATGAACTTCTCAAAAATAAAAAAAAAAATTAGGGGTGCCATTTGAAAAAAAAAAGTGAAAGGTTGTAAATAGGGGATGCTTTTGTCAGGGGAAATTTTTTTTATATTTTTGAAGAGAGTTTAATTAACCATTAGTCATTTTTTTTTTTCAAATTTTTATTTCTAAAAATAAGAAAGTTATGGCCTGTAACGCTGATTGTGGGACACCCTGTATACTGATTTAGACATATTTTAAACTTTTATTGTATATCATACGATATAGTATTTATCACCCTCATATTCATCCAGAAATTGGGATGTGAACTCCACCCATAGAAAGTCGTCCACATTAGGAGACATGTCGATCCTTTTAGCATTGTTTTAGGTTGAGCCTAAGTTTCTTCCATAAGAATTACATGTCACAAAGTTACCCCGGTAGGTTACTCTTTTTTGTTTATTGTTAAAAAAAAACGTGTCAAATAATTAATAAATCCTAAGCGTATTCACGTAGATATCCCAACAAGTACCCAAGCAATTAGAAATTCTGACGAATTTTTCTGGGGAGTGTTCAAATTCTGATGTACAGTAGAAAGTTTGGGCGTTTCGAAAAAGTTGCAAAAACGAGATGCTCCCTTCGAATCAGGCTGCAAGTTACCAAGAGAGCGTACCAGCTTGCCGAACAGTTTTTGTAGCGAGTGAGGTATGTGCTTCCACCAGCCGGTACAACAATTTGGCTTCGCGCGCGGAATTTAAAATGTTTGGCTAATTTGAAATGAATTTCACAATTTCACAAAGTTTCCCCCTCGTCACAAAGTATCCCCGTTTTACGGTACATAGCTTACGCATTATAAACCTCGGCGCTTCGCGCCTCGGTTTATGAAAGCGCTCGGTATATAATGACCAACTCCTCTACCTAGGTATATAAT